TCATTGATCCAGCATCCATCCATCCATCCATCCATCCATTAATCCATCCATTAAGCCATCCATCTGCCCATCCATCCATCCATCCATCAATCCATCCATCCATCCATCCATCCATCCATCCATCCATCCATCCATCTATCCATCTATCTGTCTGTCCATCCATCCATCCATTAATCTATGAATCCATCCATCCATCCATCCGTTCATCTATCCATTAATCCACCCATCATCCATCCATCCATTTATCCATCCATCTGTCCATCCATTAATCCATCCATCCTCTTCTTGTTCTTGAGGGCAGCAGTTTGAGCAGGAAGGTCCAGACATCTCTCCACAGCCACCTCCTCCAGCTCTTCTGGGAGGACTCCAATGTGTTCCCAGACCAACTGAGAGACAACTGCACCCACAGTCTTGTTCTTTCAGTCACTACCCAGAGTTCATGACCATAAGTAATGAACAAAGACAAGCTGGTAAAACAAGAGTGTATCTTCTGGACAACGGATCACTTCATCCGTCATGGATCCTCTGCCTCGCTGCTCTCTTCCAGGGAGGAAGACAACTGGTGAAGATCTTCCTGTTCATTTTCAGAGGAGATCTGGAAAATGTTGCACTGATTAAATTGAACCTAAAGTTTGTAGGACATCTCTTAAGTTCTGTGAGGAGAACGGATGGAGATGAGATATCAGACAAGTGGCTTTAGTTTTGTTTAGGAAATAAAACATAATTAATTATATTTTGGTCACTCGTGTCCCGACATGAAAAACAATTGAAATGGAAGATGTTGGACTTTCTTTGTCTCAGAACTGAGACTGACTGCAGAAACTTTTCTTACAAGCGTTGAAGAAATTTGAAGGTGAAACGTGGGTTTTATTTCAACTTTATCCAAATCCATCTTGTTTTTATTATTTACTTTTGTTTATCCCTCTCTGAGTTCAGCTGCTGTTTGTCCTGTTTTCATATTTTAATTAATTGTTTCTTCCTTTTGTCTCTCGTGGACTTTTTTTTCTTCCAGTTTCAGCTTTTCTTCTGTTAATTGATCCCCCGATGGCTAAAAATACCCCGGTCATTTAGATTTGTTTGCTTTCTGCAGGTTGTCGTCTTCATATTCTTTCTTGTTTCTGTTTGATGATGTCCAAACAGCTTGTCAAGGATTGTTATATTTAACATCACTGCGTTAATTATAGCAGCTGTAGTAAAATACACCTGAAATTAAAAGCAGAATATACATTTTTATTTTGTTTGCAAAGCATTCAGACTTTTGGCAGAACAGCTACTCATTAAACATCTTTAACAACTTTATATTTCCATTATTGTGCAATCACACATTTGTGTTATTGCATTTTTTTGTGACATTTTAGTCACATTTTTTGCTATATGAATAAAGTCTAATGTACAGTAATGATCATAAATACAAATTTTAGTTTCATTGCAGAGAAAGTGAGCTTTAGTTTTGGGTTCGCTGCAACATTCCCGAGCTTTCACTCTCATTTAGTTCATTTGTGGGCACAGAAGATGGAAACACAAGCAGGACAATGTTTGTAGTTCTGTTAAATCTGTGGGCTCAGTGTTGGAACAAGAGACAGTTCGTACACGGAGGTTAGTTATGTAGACAAGAACAGTTCAGATGTTTTATTAAATGCTCTCTGCTCTCATCACAGACTCGTGCGATGGCTGAGTAATTATGAATGAGGAAGCTGAGACGACTGCAACATCCAGATTATCTCCAGTCGTGCTGCAGCTGGACTTGGTCAGAAATGAAGCGAAGCTCGTTCGGACGTTTGTTAATGAAGAGTAAGCGCAGGCTACGATGCAGAGATGATGTTCTGTGAAGAAGAACGCATGCAGTGAGTCTGACGTCAAAGTGAAAGGATTACACCTAGAGACCATGACATGAAACAAGCTGATCTGAGCTTCTAAACTGTCCAAGATGATTAGGGGAAGTACCACCTCACAATGTGCACCAGCACCAGTGATGGCCGCGCCACGAGACGAGCTCCTGGGTCAAAGTGAAAGAAAATATTTTCCACCCACTGAATAAACTTTATTCTGTAAATATTCACTCATTCAAAGCTTCTTGCATCATCTGTAGGATCTTGGAAATGCGTCAACGGAAGAGCTTGAGACGAGCCGGGCCTCAGAGTGGCGCCTGCGGTGCAGTCTGGAGCCATTTTGTTGGGAACACTGATATTTCTGACGGAATGAGCACGCACTGCAAAAGTGACAATGATGAAGGTTAATAAAGGAGCAGTAAAGATGGTTTTGAGACTGGGTTTGTTTTAGGACAGCAGCAGTTTCGTCTTGACGTTGCTCCATTCAGCTGTGTCTTCAAACTGGGTTCATCCACAGCAGGTAAGATAATTTTTTTCATTTTTTTTCATTTAGCCTTTATTTATCCAGGTTAGTCTCATTGAGCCACGAGAACTCATTTTCAAGAGAGACCTGTTTTAGGGAGCACATGGTGGGGTTAAGGGCCTTGCTCATGGGCCCAGAGTGGGGCGAATGAGGGTGGGGGCAAGTGTGGGTGTTTCACCTACCCCACCCACAATTCTGATGTTGTCGGGGCCGGGGCGTGAACCGGCGATCTTCGGATCACAAGCCCACCTCTCTAACCTCTGCGCCACCACTCCCCTAGTATTTGCTCAAGCTTTTTCGAAGAACCCTCTCTGATCTGTCCCGATAAATAACCTGATCTGGTTTCAGACTGCCTCCTCTGGAAACGTGGGACGAGGAAGGTTGGAGGCAGAGCCGATCTTTCATCACGTTCTCTCCTGACTCTACTTGAGTTGAACATCCATCGGATGATCAAACGCTGCAGCGCTGCCAGCTCCAGGTCCGACCCCTCACTCGGGGTAAACTCTCATAATCTGAGGCCGGCGCTGACGTTACATCATCGATGCTGAGGCCGGGGTTCTTTGATCTGTGCTGCGCTGCCGGCACTGGCAGCAGAGCATGTTCCGGTCCTGATGGGAGGGGGAGCAGTGGTTCTTCAAACATGATGGACAGGGAGAATTGGGGG